ACCCCCTCACCTCCTTTGCCCCCTCCTCTGGGCTCCTGACTCTTTCTGCAGCCTTTCTACTGCAGCCTTTCTGCTACTCCTGGACTCCTTACAGCTGTCTTTCTGCCACACCCCTGATCTTCTCGTAGGAAAGATCTACACCTAGACTTCTTGGACAAGGGCTAAAAAACTCGGAGGGCCCGGGGGCAAGTTGCCCACATTAAAGATCCCTTGGTGGTCTAAAATTGATAAGAGTAGGCTTCGGCCGCCACCCGGGCAAAATTCAAAATTTCCTACCAACTAAAAAGTATCAGGTGTGTCCCGCGCGCTAATATGACCTTATGCAGTTGCGAGTTGTTTTTTGTTTTAGTAGAGGTTTTACGGCACTAGCAACTGCATAAGGTCATATGAGCGCAGTTGCGAGTGCCGTGTAACACTTACAACAAAAAATTTTTTTTTTTAATTTGGTCATTTTCCCCATCTTTATTACTGCATTTTATTTCTTTTTCTTTTCGCACTACTCAAATAATCTGACCAATTCTAATGTTTTTGTTGTTTTTACTATCATCAGTGATTTTTTTCTTTTTTGCCTTTAATGTTTAAATAATTGGTAAAATTTAGTTTCAGCATCAGTAAATGATGCATTGAGCCTGTTCTCTGGATTTGAGTGCATGTATTCAAGGATTCAAGTATTCCCTCAAATATTTCCTAATTACTCAGATTCTGACTCACAATACGGGACTCAAACACCCATTCAAAGGATTTTTTGGAACAAGCAATTGTTAGCGCAGGTTCAACTACAGACTTCAATATAAGTTAAGGACCACTAGCAAACATTCTGAGTGACGTTCTTGGGTCAACCTGCATGTAGGCGTTCTTGGACGGATCCAGTGGCTTGATGGCGCTGCCTCAAGCGGACAATGACAGAGTGTGACACAGCAAGCCTTCAGGCAACTTCTCGGGCTCCAACTCCATCCTGCAGCCATGCCATAGCCCTGGCAGGATCAAAGTCTCTCAGCTTTCGTCTCGGTGGCATATTGATGCGATACAGGATTTTGCGCAAGCGGCAGCTTATATTGCCTCAAAAGTGAGCAGCAAAAAATTTTGAAACATTCCTTGATGTCTTTTTTCCGAATATTTTACAAATCAGGGCTGTCTGTCAAGGTGGTCCTTAACTTATGTTGAATTCTGTATAATTATATACCTTCTCTGGTATTGGACAGAGGGACAAGAGCCAAGCTGTTGCTGGATTGATAACAACAACAATCTTCACTCATCCTACGATATTGTCTCCTCTTATCTCAATCAAGCTCATCTCATCCAACTTCACTTTATCTCATTACCATCTCCTCACCTTCTTCAATCAAACTGTCCACGTCTCCCTGAGTCTCCAGGTCAGTAGACTCGACAACCTCCGATGTGTCGCCAGGTTCGAATCCACCATCAGGGAACACATAAGAAACCAGGAAATCTTGAACATTCTCAATCGTCCACTTTGTAGAAGGATCAAAATATTTCACAGCACCATCCTGAAAACAAGAATGATGTGTCAGGAGAGGCAACTCAGACTAATAGCCATTCTAGTGGAGCAATAAGGTGTCAAACTTGCAAAGTCGTCGGTGTCACAAGTTATCCATTTAACCTCTTCGCTACCGCGCCCGTAGAATTCACGGGCCTGAACCATGTAGCATTGTGCCTATGGCCCGTAGAATTTACGGGACTGAGACAAAGGTTGTTTTGATACCAATTACAAGAAAAGTCACAGCTAAAATCTTGTAATTATTATTGAGGTACCTCTCCTTTATGTTTACCGCCATTTTCCCCCCCATTTGAAAGAATCAGATTTTAGCTCAAAGAGAAGATTAGACCTGATCTAACAGATCTACCGCACAAAAATGATTAATTGGCAGTAAACACAGATGGGCTTACATATATATATACATATGGATTGTACGAGCGTTGTATTAGGTAGGAAAAGCCTCTTGTCACTTTTTCTTTACACTATTACAACCTGTATTCCCCTTTTTTAGGTCTCAGTTTATCATTACTCCAATGTGTGTTGATTTATGTTGTTTGGTGGTGGTGTTTTTGCCATCATGTTACTTACTCCAACTTTTCTCCATCTATCTCTTAATGAAATCCCCCCAAAATTATATTAATAGAAATGTGGTTCAATGTAGAATGTACACGCAGAAATTCATGAGGAAATATTTTAAAATAAAAAAGTTTACCTTGGTTCATGGGATTTCCCCCGGCACACAGGCCTATTTACTTGCAGCATCGAATGGATTAAGTCCATTTGGATACTTTCTACACCAGAGAAAAAAAATAGTTTTTGTTGTGTTGTTCCTGTCAGGAATCATGAAAGGCAAGAAAATTGTAAGCCTTGACCATAGCTGCATTTTGGTGATCTTGAACAGTAAATCTTACATAGAGCTTTGAGGGATGTAAAAATCATAATATTTTTGAAATTTTGACTTAAGTGGATTGCTTGTGACAGCAACAATATCAAAAGGATAAGTCTGATTCCTGGCTTCCTCAAACAGAGCAGTTACACTTACAAAAGGTACTTTTTCTAATTTCCCACATTGCATCCAATACCAAATGGGAACTTGATAACCAGTATTGACAAAATATGTAAATAGTACCCTTTTAATCAAAGTGCCTAACAGCTTAAATGCCATAAGTCCCCAGGGAAACCAAAAATTTGAATTTGCAAAGAACCAGCCAGTCATGGGAGTTATTTTGAAGTATGTGACCTTTCAGGAAGAAAAATAAATAAGCACTATAACTTTTTTTTCCATCTTATCAGCAGGATACATCACTTGTGACAAGAAAGCTATTCAAAAGAAGACCAACACAGGGTTGGTGGGATCAAAGTTTCTTTCAAAACTCTTGCTACATGAATCTAACTTTTTCATCACGTATAAGTCTAATGCTATCCTTGAAGAAGAAAAAAAAAGAAAGAATTCATTGTCTTTGATTTGTAAAATGCAAGGATAAAAGCCCACCTCTGCCTTTACTGACAACGCTGGCAGGGACCCATGGAAGCCTTGAGACTCCGCAGCCTTCTTGTTCTCTTCATCATCCCTGGAGGGAAGGAATCAAGCATCAGTAGAGGATATCTTGTATTTAGGATCATTTTGATATTTTTCAGTTTTCAAAACACATGAAGTGGACATATTTGAAAGAGGGGTGCCTAAAATTAACAAATCAACTGTTATATTGAAACAGCATTTGTGTGGCATCGTGGTGAAATCAAGCACTTGTCAAAGCGATGAAAACGAAGAATTGACATTTTTCTGCTTGTGAAATTTTATTGAATTATTTTTTTTGTCTCAACACCTTTTCTAGCCATTTACAAACACATTTCTGTGTGGATGAAAGGCAAAAAAAAGAAAATTTGCAGTTTCCAAGAACACTCAAGCTTTGAAAGTCACCAAACTTTGGAAGCCATTTTCTCACTAATTTTACCTTTGACACAGGGCAACCCCCACCTTTCTAATTACAAATATCACACCTTCTATTCAAGATATGTGGGTGCTGTTTTTTTGTCAAAGGTAAGACAAATGCAAAAACTTTAAAACAGTACCAATAACTCTGTACGCCCAAAAATTGATAAGTACCTTGTCCACCACGTTTGAATTTTATTTAACAATCCTATTTTCCCTTCAGTTTTCACAACCAACCCCTAATTTTCTTAGATCTAGGGCTTCAGATTAACAAACTTTCAAGAAGATGAGCAAAAACACTCCTTGCACAAAGTTTGGGTTAGATTAAATGCAATAAAAATATAATAATTGATTAGGAAGATAAGCTCTTACATCTTGATTTAAACACAGCAGCAGTTTTAAAGTTTTGCATGAAAGATTTTTAAAAACTGAAGTGACCATAACCGCAAGAACAACAACTTATGGCTTACATTTCAACAATTACAACTTTGGCAAAACCTCTCAGATCATGAGACAGTAAATCAATAACAGGCTCAGCTTCTTCAGAGGTCGCCTGATCTTTGAACACATAGATCACAGGAAGAGGGCCGCCCATCTCAAACATCTCAGTCACTCCATCCTTGGACGAAAAGAACTGAAAAAAAACCCAGAGAGAATGTGTGCAGAATAGAAATTTTGTTTTCCTTTCTTTCGCAGTTATGTTCCAAGTCAGTAGTGAATTCCTTCATAACACTTTGTGGGCTGCTTATATCAAATGTGGGTGGTTGGCGGTGCTCTGGTGTGGTTTGCTTCTTCTGTTATATCAAACATCTATCGTCTTTATCTCCCCTTCTTCTTTTTTCATGTTTGTTACTTTCTTGTAACACTTCTGATCTTCTGGCGCTCATATGACCTTATGCAGTTGCGAGCTCCGTAAAACCTCTACTAAAACTAAACTTATATCAAATACCATCACTGGAGGAAAAAATGAAAATTACAGAGAAAAATGTATGCTGATTATGTCCATTGCTTTGGTCTGTTTTTCTACTATATTCAAGTCAGTTGAGAAATTGCACCCATTGCGGTCTCAGCTTGTGATGATAAGAGTGAAAAACCAGTGCAACATTAACTCTTTATCTCCCAGTGGCTCGCGGTCAGAACCCCTGTGCCAGTGAGCTGCTGACAGCGTCTCGGGTGCATTCCTTTACGACTTCAACATCAAATTACTTTTCGTCAATTGCCGAAAACAGGTCTCTTTTACCGGGAGTTCATTCATTAAATGAAGAACTATCAAAATACGTTTACTTATTTTGATTTGATGATCAGTTTAGTGACGTTTTCGTCTTTTTTAGACTAAGTACCAAAGAAGGGGCCCACAGATAAAGAGTTAAGCTATTTCGCCCAAAAATTTGGGTTGATTCTGTTTGAGGTAGATGAATAGGAAATGATAGTCAAGATGCAGATTCTGCACTACCATTACCTTATTGTGTAGCAAGTGCCGTAAAACTCTTACTAAAACTAAAACAAGATGCAAATCTTTAAACTTTCAAATATCTATCACGTAACTTATCAGATTTCTTATGCAACAGATCTGACTTTTGAACTTTTGTACCCAAGAATCTACAAATACGCCAAGAGCATTCACTGTTGCAAGCTCTCCTTACAGTCCACTGACCAGTCTTTCATGGAGACAACCCATCATGACATTAACACCAATAATAATAAATTTTATTAACATAGAAGCATATCAACACTCTACAGCATGCTCTATGCACTTTACAGCTTTCTTCAACATTATCAACAACGTTTTCGTTACCATAATCAGTTCCCCAGGATGGAACACCGTTCAGGAAAAAAGCCAAAAATAAAAATGATTAAAACATATGGCATTTATTTAGCGCTCTACCCCGATTGAAGTACACAGGCTCTGAGCCCTTTACAATATAACAGTAACATACAATCAGTATATAAAAAAAGCTGATCTCTCTTAAACTGCTGGGCAAAGCATTTCCAGACTTTGGGACCTTGATATTCAAATGCCCTTTCGCCCATTGTTTGAAGTTTCACAGATCAAACAAAATTTTAAAACTCACCAAAGTCCGATCACCCAATCTCTGGACATAAGTGGCCAGGGCTGAGAGAGTGAAGGGTCCACGGTACAGGACGCTACGGCAGTCACCAGTCGCAGTCACTTTCTCCGGACTGGTCTCTGAGCACAACAAAACCCACATGGCCAGACCTGTATTTGGCTTGATAATCTCGCTGTCTCTGTCAATTTAGGAGGAAAAAAAATTCTTTTCAATCACTTCGTCTACTATAGTAGGGAAATGAAAATATGTGAGGCAGCGTGGTGGAATCAGGCTCTCGTCAAAATAATCAAAGTGAAGAAACTTGCATTTTTCCGCAGGTTTGTGAATTTTTATCAAATTTTTGTTTTTTGGCTTAACACCTTTCATGCCCATTAAAAACTCATTTCTGGGTGGATTTTTCTGAAAAACGTAGATTAAAGGCACAAAAAATGTACATTTTCAGTTACCACGGACTCTTAAGCTAAGGAAATAACTAATCTTTGGCAGCCATTTTCTCACTAATTTTACCTCTGAAAACAGGTGACCTCCGCCTCCTTCTTCTGAAAATATCTCGACTTGTATTCAAGATAAATATATATTTTTTCATTGAAATAAAGTCAATTGAACAAGCTTTAAGATAATACCAATAACTCTACATGCCCAAAAATTGACTAGAGCCTGATTCCACCACGCTGCCTCATCTATGGTTTGCAACAGTTTGTCTTTTTTTTACAAAGCATATGCTGTAACAACAGCACTCATAAATTAAAGATCATTTTTGTCAGGTAACAAATAAAGAAAACAGAATAAAGGCTTTTAAAAATGTATACGAATCAAATAATTTCTGACAATATATACAGGGACATTCAAAGCATACAAAATAAAACAAACTACAAAATTTTACAGGAAGACAAAGGTGACAAAAGAAGTCCTTTGTTTGGCATCGATATAAGAAACTCCACTTCACAGTTCCATTTCCACAAATCAAAAATGAAAAAAAAAGAAAACTTACTGCAGTCCACTGAAAGACTTGAACTCAGTAGTCAGTGCAAACTTGTAGCGATCTTGAAAAGTGTAGGCAATTTCCATGTAGACTCTGTGTTCTGAAATGACAGATTATGTACATGAATCTAATACAACTTTTCTGTCTTCTTAACTCATCTTTCCTCTCTTCTCCCTCTTTTTCAATTTTCAATTAAACCTCGAATGCTGGAATTTGGGTGCCTTGCACTTAAATTTACGAAATAACATAATAGATTTCTTAACAGACAGTTTTAGTGTCAATATTTCAATAAAGTGCATACAAGATTCATTGACTTTATTAACAGGAATTCTTCTATAACATTTTTAGATTAAGCAATTACGGTTTCTTTACTTCAATCTTGTTTGTTTTCCGAGTCATTTAGTAACACTTCAGACACAAAACAGCTTTTTGAAAAGCCAAATTTTGCACATTGTAAGATTTAATTATTTCATTAATAATAGTCACAATAACAGACTCCCCCCCCCCCCCTCCACCAGCCCCTCCAGCCCCTCCATTACCAAAAATAGAGGTTCTCAGAATCTTCCTAAAAAATTGCGAGTTTGGGTGGGGGGGGGGATACAGTCTCCAGAACCTCAGCAGTTTCAGAATAAATTGCAAACCGACTGTGGGAAATAAATGTGAGGCAACGTGGTGGAATCAGGCTCTCGTCAAATTAATCAAAGTGAAGAAACTTGCATTTTTCCGCAGGCTTGTGAATGTTTATCAAATTTTTGTTTTTTGGCTCAACGCCTTTCATGCCCATTGAAGAACTCATTCCTGTGTGGATTTTACTGAAAAGCCTTGATTAAGGGCATAAAAATGAAAATTTTCAGTTACCACGGACTCTTAAACTAAGGAAATAACTAATCTTTGTCGGCCATTTTCTCACTAATTTTACCTCTGAAAACAGTTGACCCCCACCTCCTCCTTTTGAAAATATCTCGACTTGTATTCAAGATAAATGGATATTCTTTTCCTCCAAATAAAGACAAGTGAACAAGCTTTAAGATGATACAAATAACTCTACATGCCCAAAAATTTACCAGAGCTTGATTCCACCACACTGTCTCACAAATGTATACTGCAAAAGAACACAAAATAAAAATGTGTGTTTTCACATCATCTACAATAAGTCACACAAATATTGCAAATAAATGCAAATGTACCTGTGTGTTTTCATGTCAGTTATGATAAGTTGCGTACTAGACTGTACACAGCATATCAACAGACAAAATTATGTAATATTACCCGAGGGTGCAATGTCGGAGCAGTTAGTGCGCTCGTCTTTGAAGCGGAAAGCCTTGGTACGGACACAGATTTTTTTCGCCCCCTCCTGCCCACACAGCTGTAATGGGTACCTGACATCGAGTTAAGGAAGTAAAGGCGGCATGGAAAGGAACTGGCCACCCTACCACAAAATCCCAAAGGCCCAGGAAGTCGAGGTTGTCTCACTAACAAGGCAATCTCCAATGTCTGGATCGGATGTGGGAACCACTTTACTTTTTACCCTGAACCAGTCGAAATTTTAAAATTTACCTTGAGTTCCAACAGCTTGTACATAAGTAAAGATGAGATCTTCTTTGCCGGCCAAATCCTTTTGAAGCTCGTGTTTCTCCAGACGAGACGAGATGATGGGGACTTCATGCAGGAGAACCAGTCTGGGTGATGGAATACGGGCAAGGCATTGGACATTTGGCAGACATTGCTATTCTCTGTTAACCCTTCCAGCCCCAGCTATTTTTGTGCTCTCCCTAACCCCAGTCCCAGCCAATACAACAGTATTTCAGAAAAAGAGGCATGCATTCTAAAAAGTAATGTAGTATCTTTTAAATGAGGTTAAGATGATAATATCTAGCAATGTTTAAAGGTAAATGAACAAATATTATGAAAATTCAAGTTTAATTAGGTAAGCTAATTTAGAAAAATGCGCAAATTCGGTACCCCCCGAAACTGAGAATATACGCTCTTGGGGCGGTGGGAGGTACAAGCGCTACTGAAAATATACTCGCATGGGGCTGGAGGGGTTAAGAAAGACATTATTCAATTGATCACATCTGTAATGATTGGAAATGTTTTACCACTTCCACCAACACTTTCTAAATAGCTTGCGGGAAGGGGTGGGAGGGGGGGGGGGGTTAGAGGTGAAGGAGGGAGAGGGGGGGGTGGTTTCTTGACTGCTTTGACCCTGCCCACCTGGGCCAACTCTGATTGAAAGGGATAATTAAGTTCTAGAAGCATAAACCAAGCATAACTGCCAACTTTTCAAAACCCCAAAAAAGGACTTTATGTACACAGACGGTCAAAGTGGTGGGCATTGGACAAGAACGTCTCTGTATCATGTATATCTGTATCATGTATCTCTGTATGAAGTATCTCTGTTTTTCCAAATCCTGACTACTGAATACTCTAAAGTATGTTGATGAAAGTGTAAAACACCTTCATTGAAAACAATGTTTTTCTGTTTTATAAATGTAAACCACAAAGATAGTGTGATGTTGGTTCTTACTGAAGGGCATTCGACATGATAGAGTTGACATCAAACATGGTCTCCACTTCAAGGGGTAAAAGCTCTATGCCTTTCCTGCAGAAAGAAAAAGACAAAAAATACCTTTAATTTTTTAATTTTCTGGGGAGAGGGGAGGGGGGAGGGGAGGGATGAGTTATACATTCTAGTTTAAAAAACAAACCTCATTCTAGTGCAAAACCTACACCAACCATTTCTTGTTTCAACAAGGACATAAATCTGTGCACAAGAACGAGTAGTCTACATCTTTTTGTCTCATTAACTTAAGGCTTTCTATAGCATAAAAATATCTAAAATCTGTATCATATCCTACAGAGGACTGTATATATTTATGCTCTTTACAATGATTTTTGGGCACAAAAAAACATACAGTGGAAACCTGATATAGCAGGGATGGTGGGAGTAGAGAAAATGTCCTGTTATATCCGATCCCTGTTAAATCAGAAATGCAAGGAAGGTAAGCATTTGTGGACTAATCCAGCTGTACTTATTCATGGGTAGTTGCCCTTGCCACAAGTACCCACGAACAGGGGTTTTGGCACCAACTTTCGCCTTGCCTCCTTAAACAACATCTGAAGAGCTTGGTCCACAGCATCTGCATCGGGTAGTCTGATCTTCTTTCGATCGCGAGCGAACTTTCCATTGGAGTACGCTTCCACTATTTTCTATCCTTGATAATGGGATGAATCGACCCTTGTGGAAAGTCGAACTGACGACAAATCTCTGCCAGTCGAGCTTGCTTTTTGTCAACAGCCTGGATTATTTCGTATTTTTTTGTCAATTGAAAAGCATTTTCTCTAGCGCTTGACATTGTTGGTGACACATTACGCCACGCGCGCGTGTTGCTAGGTTTCGGGCTAGATCAAGGTCTGCAGCACACCGCAGCCCTCTCTCACTTCACACGCTGCGTGTCCTTGCAGTGGCATAGCTTGCGTGGGCTTGCTCCATCACTGCGTTACTCTTTCTCTCTCTTTACAAATTGTTAACGAGCCTTTGTCCCTGCTATAACCGGTTGGGCTCCGATGAGGCCCTGT